AGAAATATGAAGAAAAGGATCTTAAACATCCCTCACAACCTGCAATTTACATAAAAATCTCTTCAAACAAACATATAACAAAAAAAAAAAAAAAAGTGGAGCTGGGTTCGACGAAACCCAACAGATTTGGGTTCGAGGAACCCGGCAAATGGGTTCGAGGAACCCAGCAGATGGGTTCGATGGAACCCAGATCTGCTGGGTTCCCTTGTACGGGGTTGCTGGGCTCCTCAAACCCAGATCTGCTGGGTTCCTTTAAACCCAGATGGCTGGGTTCAAGGGACCCAGCAACAGAGGAAGAAAAAAGAGGAAGAAAGAAGAAAAAAAAAAAAGAAAGGAAGAAGATGGGTCGAACTTTTTTATTTTTTTATTAAAAATATAAATCCTAAACAAATTTAATTTATGAGTTGGCATTGACACGTCATCAAAAAAAATTCCGAATTAGCACTTTTTAAAGTTGTTTTCGCCATATCATCAAAAAAAATATAAAAAATGCCACATGGTAGAGTTAATGGTCTAAATTGACAGAAGGACTAACGGTGTGCATTTCTTAGAGTTGAGGGATCAAAAAAGTGCAAAAAATTGTTGAGGGATAAAAAATATGCATTTTTTAAAGTTGAGGGACCAAATTTAGAATTTAATCAAAAAAGAAAAATGGGGCTAGTAGGGCAAGAAAAAATTCCAACAAGATTCGACCTCTGTAAAAGGAGAGTGATCGTGGACTATATATAGTATGACCAAATGTGGCTTTGGTAGTTGTGGGGTGGAAGCTATGAATCATACAATTGAACTAGTGGGGTAAGTTTAGCGTAGAGGCACATGGAGTTGTTGGAAGTCCTTTGAGCCAGTGGGGGTTGACAGGTGGGTAAGTTGGCTTGTTTGAAACTGTCTGGTCTTGTTTGCAACTGTTTGGTCTCTATCGATCCAACAATAGTATATAAAATTATAAGTGTCCAATCATAACATCACTTCTTTTTTTTTTAATTTTGGTTATGCAATGAAAAATAATTATTTTTTATTCTTTATCACACTCCATCCGTATATTATACAACTCAAACTCATGATCTTTTATTTTTAATAAAATAAAATAATAATTGAATTATTTAAATTATTGATAATTATAATATCACATTAAATAACTAAATATAAGTAATATCATAAATAAATATTTTTTTTGAACATGATCATAAATAAATATTTAAATATAAAAATTAGTTATATAATAATATTATACACTATATTATAAATTTACAATAAATCTAAAAAGTGATTGTAAACATTTTTCTATTATTATTTTATACAAAAAATAATTATATATTATTTCTTAACTTAAACTACTAAAACATCAATGAGACTTAAACTCCACGCCTCTTTCGTCACGCAGAGTAATTGTGAACTTAAAAACGAGGGAAGATTTTGGGCACTTGAACCCAAAAAAATGAACAAGGAAAAAAATAGGCCAGAAAAGAGTTCAATTGGTTCCAAGCCCGCTTCTGATTAGTGCTTAGTCTTGAGCCTCTGACCCTGAGCCCATAACAGATTTATGGAAGGATGGGCGCTCGTTAAAATCCCAAAGCAAAATACGGCCTTTCTTTGTAGTTTCCATTTTTCAACTGTAGATACTGAAGGGAGCAAAATTGGAAGCAGTAGCAACGCCATGGAAGCAGCTTCTCCTCAACGCACTGGACTCCAATTCTCACCTCAAGCATTCTACCTTCTTCTAGCTCGTACGCCTTTCCGTTCTTGTTTTTTTTCTAATTTCTCCACCATTTCTTTGTTTTGGAGATTCGATCTTTGTTCATATAGCCTTTTTGCTTCGATTGTGAATAATTTCAGGCGACACTCGGATCGAACGGAAGGCCTTCGAATCGCACCGTCGCTGTCCAGTGATCGTACTGTTCTTCATTCTCTTTCTGTTCGTACGTGAGTTTGTTGGAAGAGTTGAATGTGTTTTTGGTTGAATTTTACAGAGGATTTCAAGAGAACAGTGACAATATCCAAATTAACACCGATACTAGAAGTCGCAAGGTTCATTTTATTATATCGTCAAGTTTCTCTATTCCAAGTGTTTCGCTTATGATCAAGAAATTTTTTTTTTTTTTTATGTGTCGTTGGAATTCGGTTTGTTTGGTTGTCAATTCCAAGTATTGTTCTTTTGGACATGTCTTCAATTATTATTTATTTATTATTGTTATTTTTTTGTTCTGTTGGTTAATTTTGTTGAAACAGCTTCATTATTCACTGTTTTAGCATTTTGGTTTGTTGGAAATTGGATTGATTTTTTTTCAAAAAAAAAAAATATATGCAGATAGAAGAGCTGAAAAAATGCCCCTCTGCCGAGGTAATTAATATTTGAGTTATAAACTGCCATTTTTTGAAATTTTATTTGTTTGAATTGATAGAGCTCTAGTGATTTCAATTAAGTCTAACCACTTAGTACTTTCTCTTTTGTAACTTGCTTTCTTATTAATTGTTATGTTACATTCAGTATCTGCTGTTACAGATATGTTGGTATTTTACTGAATCTTGGGAGCAATTCCGGATCGCTGGAAGAACTGATATTATTGATGGCTCAAATCCTGATTGTGTGAAAATTCAGGTCAGAATGCATTCCATCCCATCAACTTTGCATGCCTGTCACTTATTATCAGCTTAGAAATGTTGGAACTTGCTAAACTGCTAGAATACTACATCCACAGAATTTGTTTGATTGGTACTTTAGTTAGAGTTATGCTCATGTGCACGTATTTAGTTTTGTAAAGTGGTGATGGTGGTTTATTGGAGCATAATCATAAGTACTAACCCATCTGTAAGCAGATATGGCTTTGCTCAGTTCTGCAAAATTTCTTTTTGATATCGGTCAAAAGGATTTGTAGATGTTTGACTAGAGTCTTTAAGAATGATTTTTTTTCCAATAAATCTTTTCTTTGTCAAGGAAAATAAATAAATATATATGGAGAAATTTAGAATTTAACTTATTGAAAGTTAAAATCTCATAATGTAATCAAGGCTTTTGCATACTTGTCATTATATCCAATAATAGGAGATATGTTAACATGTATGCCATGTGAAAAATGATTTTGTAACTATATATGTTCATATAACCAGGGAAAGTTTTGTAACTCAGAGAGCAAGAGCATTATATGGTGAGAGTCTAGAAATAAAACATAGGTTAAAGCAGATGATATTCATAATTTACATTACTCCCAAGAAAGGGAAATCTAATGTTTTCTTATCCAATGCCCATCTTCTTTATATTTTCTCTGATTTTGTCAAAATTCATTATGCAGCAAAGAGAGAAAGCCTGGTTTTCTACTTCTGTTAAATCACAACTGCAATATCTGGGGCCCAATCCAGGTCTTCCCTTTCTAAGTGAGCAACCAATTCAGGATCTTTCTATAGATTCCTCTACAGGCCCAGTCAATGCCTTATGCCTGCTGGTTCTAGATCCAGATCAGGTTTAATTTCTCATCTATTCTTGCCACCACTTTCCAGGAAGAGTTTGGTGAGGGTAGATGGTTGAAGAGGGCTTTGTTTGTTTCTTCACTTTCTCGCATTCTGATTTGGCTGATCTTAAATTGCAGGTTTGATTATTTGAATTGGAAGAGTAACCAAAGGGTAGAGTTTGCATCCAGATTAGATGCAACTGGGGCAAAATGCTGGGCTTCTGAGAGAATCAACTCATAACCTGTACTTTTTGCCTCCTAAAACCGTCATGTGAGCCTGTGAGTTGTGCCCTTGTGACCATTTAATGGAGCCTTTGTGATTCATTACGAACCCATCAATGCCTTGCATAAACTCTTTGTTTCACTCCTAGAATTGAAGGGCTCAAATATATGGCAAAAAGGTTAGTTATTTTCTTTTCCCCTCTTTTTCTGGTAAGGGCAAGATATGGACAGTGCAGTCAGATTCATGATAAATTCATAGAGAAAATAATGAAAACTGCTAATTATTGTGCATACGTCTCTGAAGTCATTTGTGTCTGCATAGTCATCGCAATATCTTTGATCTGACATTTTATGGAGATGTATAATGTTTTGCACTCATGAAAGCCTCCCATACAAGGCATGTTGCTAAAGTGAGCATCCAATTCCCATGTTCAAGATACTGGGACAGTGAAAGGGACCCATACCTTTCCCAACTAAAACTGTGGAATATTCATTTGAGCAAGAGGCTATTCTATGGAAGGAATATGATAGTCACCTACTCTTTCCATTGGCTTTCCTATTTTTCTTTTTGTATTTATGGATCTCCATCTACCACAAACTTACATGTTCTTTTGAGGTAGTTGCACCAGTCTAGGCCATGTAAGGATTCCCATTTTTTTTAACTATACTTCTCTAGAGTAGAGATAAGTTGGGCTGTTAGCTGCGCATGCCTGCCAACTGAGGCAGGACAGCCTTTCCTTGCGAAAGCTTTCCACAATCTCTAATCACCTTGTGTAGAAGGAGATGAATCTAGATTAGGATTAAAGTTGGCCGTAGAATGTATCTGATTGCTTAAAACAGTAATTAAAGTTACTGCTACAGCAAATAGAAAATTGAAAATGATTTACTTGATATGTTTTCCTTACAATGTTTTGTTTAATATTTGATAATATGTGCACTTGGCCCTAGAGGCCCAATAGTATTAGCCATTGAACAAGTGTACTTCCCCCTCCCATGGACGGGTTTCGAAACCCTCTCATGTCAAAATATTCAAAAATATTTATATATTTGATAATATGTAACTTGAAATTAAACAAGTGGATAGATATCCATTTTATGCATTCTACAGAGTAAAAAGAAAGTCCATCACTTATCGTGTCACGTTGTACAAAACATTACAAGGAAAAGGTTAAACC